GTACTTTAAGTCTTTGGTTCTTTTAATTGTGATGATTTTGGCTCATTTAGGGTCTTACTGACTCAGACTTTTCAATGGTAGTATATTTATATCAATAAATGCAGTTTTATTAACAACTTGCCATTTTTACACTTACTGACACATGAGCAATGCCCAGGGGTTACGTATTTGCCTTCTCCAACATAAAAAATATTTGTAATGTTTTTTCAAAGATATTTATCATGCCTCTTATCTTAATTTCTCCTTCAGGACCCAGATAAGTTCCAGTTTGGAAAGACGAAGATTTTCTTCAGGGCAGGTCAGGTGGCCTATCTGGAGAAGCTCCGAGCTGATAAGTTCCGCTTCGCCTGCATTAATATCCAGAAGACCGTGCGAGGATGGCTCCAGAGAATTCGGTACCGCAAGATCCGCAAGTCGGCTATCACTCTGCAGAGATACGGCCGGGGTTACTTGGCACGCAGGTGAATGTTTGAATTAGACGGCTCTTAGATTGAACTTCACAGAAATACAGAATACAGAAATATTCAGCTTGGCATGTTTTTCGCTTTACTTACAGCTCTTGTTCTCTCATTCTCTCTCAGATATGCAGAGATGCTTCGCCTGACCCGAGCAGCACTTATTTGTCAAAAGCAGTACCGGATGGTACGAGTTCGACGGGAGTATCTGAGGACCCGTCGGGCTGTGATCACCATTCAAGCGTTTGCCCGGGGCATGTTCATTCGCAGGTTATATCAGGAGGTACTCTACAGCACTTTATCTTTTGTTTCACACTCTTCATGTTTCTTTAAAGCACAGTTTTAAGCTGCATTTTCTGTCTTTTCAGTTCCTGCTCCATCACAAAGCCATGATCATTCAGAAGACCGTCCGTGGTTGGCTTGTGAGAAAGAAGTATCTCCATGCCAGATATGCTGCCATTGTCATCCAGTGTTTCTACCGCCGTGTACGTGCCAAGCGCCAACTCAAACAGCTCAAGATAGCAGCCCGTTCGGCCGAACACTTTAAAAACCTCAATGTCGGAATGGAGAACAAGATCGTGCAGCTTCAGAAGAAGATGGATAACCAGGTACAGGAGCATAATAGGATGCATGAATGATTACAGAGTCACCAAAAAGAATTGACATGGTGTTGACTAGATATCTTCTTTCTTTACAGTCAAAAGAGTATAAAACTCAGAATGAGCAGCTGGTTGTTACTAACTCTACTCTGGGATCAGAGGTCACCAAGCTCCAGAAAGAAGTGGAGACTCTTCGCAGTCGGCAGACTGCTGGCACTCAGGTGACATCACTGCAGGAAGAGCTTGAGAAGTTGAGGGCGGAGCTCCAGGAAGCCCACGCCCAGAGGAAGCAGATAGAGGAGGAGTTCAGCAACGAGAAACAAGGACTCGAACAGGTGAGAAAGGATGCTCAGATAACTAGTTGATGTTTGTTGATGTTCTTTGTCTCAAGAATTGTTTCATATTTCTATATCATTTAAAACGTCTGAGGGTAAATAGAAAAACAGGTCAATGCATTTAGTTTCAGTTTCCACAGGAAAAAAATGACACTCTAAAAGGGCAGCTGTTACGTAACTAATGTCTGTCATGCACAAGCAAAGTTAATAATGCATGGAA